CTGGCTGGCTCAGTACCGTAGAACATTGATTCTTGATCATAGGGTCATGAATTTGAGCTTCATGTGGGAAGTAGAGTTTACTTAAAAAAAAAAAAAAGCTTTTCAGGGTATAATTCATATACCATAAACTTCACCCATAATAATTGCTCAATAATTTTGAGTAAATTTATACCATTGGGTAACTGCCACCACAATCCGGTTTTAGAACATCTCTATTCTAAAAACACTGAAATACTTCAATAGTGGTTAGTAAATAACCACTTTCCTCAACCCTCCAAAAAAATCACCCTTCAATTCTCTGAATCACTTCAGACCTCCCTATGATCTAATTACAGATATCTGGTCCACTGGGCAAGAAACAATCCACACCCTTGCCCCAGCATTGAACAGTTTCTTCCTGGTTGGTATCTTTGTTACATCTGTGTCACACCTCTTGTTAAATAAACTCCTCTGGTTCCTAATCCAAGCTTTTCACATAACCCTGCCTTTCTGAAAGTTGGGAAAATAAACAAGCGAACAAAAGAAAACAAGAGCTATGAAAATTATGTCTATATAAAAGACAGGTTTTGAAGAAAGAAAGAAATTGAGCTGATATCTACAGTGATGGTTATCTCTTCAATAAAGGTGTTCTTATCTTGAGGTTTATACACCTCTGCTGACGGATGAATTTTTGAGGGTCAGTTAACTCCCTGAAATACAAATTTGCACAGGCATGCACATTTTTCTGTGGAGCGGGTCCATGGACAAATAGAAAAAGAAAAGGATAACTTGCTAAGAACATGTTTGGTAAGAGGTTTAGGGGAGAAGCAAACAAGGAATGTGCCCAGAATACAGACAGGGAAAAGAGTTTTAGCTAGAGAGATAATGAAAGGGAAGAAAGTGAAGACAAAGTTCTCTTGATTCACGATTTTATTTACAAACCAAATATGTATGTGAATCAATTATTTTTGACATGTAGAGTAAGTCACACATATAAGCCATTTGCTATTTTGCTAATTTTCTTTGTCCTTTATTAGGAGATTCACATGAAATGACTAGTTTGGGTCATGCTTTTCTTTCTTCTTTTTTTTTTTTAAGATTTTATTTATTTATTTATTTATTTATTTATTTATTTATTCATTCATGATAGACATAGAGAGAGAGAGAGAGAGAGACAGAGACACAGGCAGAGGGAGAAGCAGGCTCCATGCTTTTCTTTTTTTTAATTTATTTATGATAATCACAGAGAGAGAGAGAGAGGCAGAGACACAGGCAGAGGGAGAAGCAGGCTCCATGCTTTTCTTTTTTCTTTTTATTTATTTATTTATTTATGATAGTCACAGAGAGAGAGAGAGAGGCAGAGACACAGGCAGAGGGAGAAGCAGGCTCCATGCACTGGGAGCCCGACGTGGGATTTGATCCCGGATCTCCAGGATCGCGCCCTGGGCCAAAGGCAGGCGCCAAACCGCTGCGCCACCCAGGGATCCCTCCATACTTTTCTTAAAGTACCATTCGAAATTGTGAATTTGGAGTTTTGCTACTTCATTAAATCCCATCTATAGCTCATCTGGATTACATTAGCATTTTAAAATTAACTAAGGCTCCCCAGTATGTCTACATAAAGTACAATGAAGTCAAGTTCATTCCTAGTATATCTATAACGTGATTTTTAAATTCAAAATAGGACATCATTCCCATTGCATTTTATCTTAGACTTTTAAAATGGTATTTGGGACATATCAGTTAAATTTTTAATGATCTCTACTAGGCACACAGAATTTGAAATCTGGAAGAAAACTTGAAGATTATGCAGTCTGACTTGCTCATTTTATTGGTAAAGAAATAAGCCCAGCAAGATTAAGAGCCCTGACCAAGCTTGCTAATGACAGAGCTAGGACAAGACTAGAAGGATTGGATTCTTAGCTTGGAGCCTTTTCCAACATTCAATTAACAAGCTAATGGTTACTGAACTACCTACATTTCTCTGATGAGATCAGCTAGTACGTAACTATGGACAAACCATCTGGAGAGACACAGACTCTAAGGCTCCTCAACCCTGTCTCTTCACACTGTGCAAAGTAGATTCTCATAGGACTGCTCCTAACTCTCCAGAGAGAGTGAGTCATCAGAATTCAAACATTCATAAATCACATTATATTATTAATATTGCAGCATTTGCCCAGTGATCACTTTGTGAGTTCTTCAAGTTACTAGACTCTGGTTTCCCATATTTCCTCCCCTTTTCTGCCAGAAAGTCCAGCTACTATTAGTCCTCTGTGTCACAGGCTTTGCCTTTGCCTTGATGAGGAAGACATCAGGCCCATATGTAGCTTGTGTATGCCCTCTTTCTTTGGTCCTACAGGGAGGTTGGAGGTGGGGGTAGTTTGTGAGACGAGGAAGCATCACCTTCTTGAACATGATGGTCGTTCGTAATTGAAGTGGAAATCAAAAGATTGAGGATCAATTTCTAACAAAAATAATAATTATGCCCTAATATCATCTAATATGCATCTTATGTTTATATTTCTCCAGTTATCTCAAAAATATCTTCTTTACAGTTGGTTGAATCAGGATCCAAACAATGTTAACAGGACTGCATTGGTTTAATATGTCTCTTAAGTATCTTTTATTGCAAATGATACTATTAAAAAAGATTCTTCAAAGGTAGGGGGAATTTTAATTTTATTATTGTTCAACTATTTTCCAAAGTGGAAATTGTCCGATTTTGCTCCTGCAGGGTTTATGAGAGCTACACCCACTTTTGGTATTTTCAGACATTTTGCCTTCTGTCTGATAGTAAGCCCCACATTGTAAAGAAATATGTGAGCTTCATCTTCACTGTATAATCAAATGTTTTAGACAGAAAAATTTTATGTTCTCTGGAGATGATATATGTTCCACCCCATCAGAAAGTCATTGTTTTAGCTCCTGAGTACATCAGGATTTTTTTATTAAATGTTAATAAAAAAATGAAGAAGATAGTAAGCATATCCTACTTAATATTTCCCAGGAAAGATATGACTGGTACGGACTCTTCCCTCCTCTGAAGGTCCTTTTTAACACACATAAAACCCAAGGGACCGGAAGTTGACTTTACTGTGAAGAGTGTTAAGAATTCTTTAACTCCCTTTTCTTGTTAGCAGGTCATGGCAGGCTGTTGGTTGATGATGATGACGTCATAATGCTTCGTTTGTAGGGTCATCTGATGTCACTTATACCTTAAGAAGAATCAGCTTTTAAATAAAATGAACTTTAGATGGTAAAACCTGATCGTCTGGAGCAATTTCCTGCATTATAGGAATTAAAAATCTCTGGAAGAAAATATACATGGAATAGCTTTCTTCTTTCGTTGGGATATATAAGTGAAGTGTTGACAACACAATTGAGTTGACACCAGATATGCTTCTGGATGATTCCTGGTTGCTAAAAGTCTCCAAACATTCCTCAAGGGCACCGTCACTTTGCACAACAAAGAGAATACCAGCTCATTTCTGGCAATAGGGTGGAATTCTAAGAGGAAAAAGCAAACCAATATAACTTCTTCTAGTGATAGGAATAGTTGGTTTAATATTATACTATAGAATAACGGGTGTATTTTAAATCTCTATTTCCTTTCTGAACACATTTTACATTAGGGAATTTCCCAGAGAACATAATGATCTATCTTTAGAGTGGGAAGGATGATATCCTACATTGGTCTTATATTTAAATCTTACAGAAATTTCTAAAAAACAGCTCCAAGTTAATAAAACAACTGATTTCAAACTTTCGTTCTGGTAAAGCAAAAAAGCCCTCTACTAGATGTATCAGCCATCTAAATCTTTAAAAGATGGAACACGAGATGCAAGCCTCTGGCTTCCATTTTATTCTTTTTTTAAAAAATATTATTTATTTATTTATTTATTTATTTATTTATTTATTTATTTATTTATTTATGATAGACAGAGAGAGAGAGAGAGAGAGAGAGAGAGAGAGAGGCAGAGACATAGGCAGAGGAAGAAGCAGGCTCCATGCAGGAAGTCCCACGCGGGACTCCATCCCGGGTCTCCAGGATCGCGCCCTGGGCCAAAGGCAGGTGCTCAACCGCTGAGCCACCCGGGCGTCCCTGGCATAGTTTTTTAAAAGGTGGCTTCTGATAAATGTTGGCAGAACTGGTGCATTCCAGAATAAATTCTGGATGCTCAGCTCTCCCTAGTCAAATACATCCCTAGGTCAAATGACCACAGAACTGCCCACAACGAAACAGGCTGAAGCCAAGTCCAGATGTGACAAAAGGTGTCAAGTGTATACTACAAAGTGCACAGATCCATCAAAACAAAACAAAACAAAACAATCACGTCTAGGGTCAAATCCCTACACAGATGTGAATGCCGTAACAACCGTAACTATTACGGATACCCGTTTAGTTTAAAACCGAGGGGCTGGTGTAAAGGGGGAAACAACAGCACACGAACCAAAGAAAAACTTTAAAAATGTCTCTTCCCTTTCGGGCAAGTTTCAGCCCTACAAATCCACCCTGGCCCTTAGAATGCCAACGTACTGTTTTGCTCTCCGTCCTCATCCCATTGTACAACGACATGCGTCTTTCTCCCCCGACATTGGGAACACGAGAAGCCTTCCAGGCGGAAAGAGTAAAAGGCAGCCCCGCGGGCAGGGGAACCGCGCCCCAAGGTGTGAATATGGGCCTGGCGCGGTGGAGAAGACGTCCAAGAGGAATAAAGCATCTTCCAACCACCCCACCAGCGGTTGGAAAAACAAAGCAAAAAGAAAAACCAACGGGGCTCGGCATCATCAAGATGTTAGGGTAAACAGAGAAAAAAAAAAAACAAAAAACCTACGGCCGTCGCCAGGTGAGGCCCGGCGCGGCGGCGAGGCAGCGCGGCTGCCGGAGAGCGGGCCGTGCCCGAGGGTACCACCAGCGCCATTGACCGCGCTCCCGCCGCCCCTCCCCCCGCCGGGTCGCCAGCCAATCCCCTCCCGCCGTCGCCTTCCCACCGGAGGCCCCGCCCCCGGCGCCCAGGATGCTGGGCCCCCGCGGCGTGACGCGAGCACGGCGGCTCCGCCCCCTGCGTCTCTGGCCTCGCCGGCCTTGGGGGGATGGTTCCATCATGGCGTCAATGCAGGTGAGAGGAGTTTGCAGCATCTGGGCGGGCGAGGGAGCCGCCGAGAGGACGCAAGCGTTTTGTCGGGGGCGGCGTCTGGGACTCTGGGGCACCCGGGCGGGTTCGGGAGCGGCCCTGGTGGCCAGTCCTTTCCCGGCTTCAGGACGCTGGGGAGGGGAGCGAGGCGGCGAGAAGAAGGGCGGGGGAGGGGGGGTCCTCGGGCGGTCGAAGCGGACGCCAGCCGGCCGGGAAGTTGGGGGATAAAGAAGGCTGAGAGGAGGAAGGGGTGAAGTTTGGCGTTGGCGTGGCGGCAGTGGTCTCGGGTCGCCTCTCGCTCACACTGACGCTGGCCTGCCCGCCCGCCCCGGGGATGCCTTCCCCGCGGTCCCCGGCCGGGCGGAAACAGCTGCTCTGGCCGTCGTCGCTGGGGCAAGGGCGGCCCGGAGAGGGGCCGGGGGCGGGGGGGAGCTGGAAAGGCGTTCCGGGGACGGCGGCCAGCTGCAGAAGCGCCTCGCGGCCTCTGCTCAGGCCTCCCACGCCCAGCTGCTCCGACCGCTCGGCCCTCCTCTCTTTGACTCTCACTCCTTTGCCCCGTGGGTACCTTCCTCTGTTAGCCTTCGCACCCTCTGCGAACCTTAGTGCGGCAGCTCACCCGCTCTCCCGAGGCTGCCCTTGGCCCTTCAACCCTTGCCTCCTAAGAGGCGGTCTCCCCGAGGTCTGAGTCACTAGCCCCCTTATACCTCCGGGATGGCTCGCCCTCAGATTTTTTTTTTTTCTTTCCCTGCGGTGCCCCACCCTTGTGGTCGCGGTAAAGCTCCAGCCCTTTGCCCTTCTTCCCTAGATCTTTAGTGGAATCTTAGTTTGGTAGGAGGCATTTATTAACCTGTGTCATAGCTGCCTGACTTAGCAGTTCATGGGTTTCTGGCTTTCCAACTTAATATGCTCCTTTTTTTTCCAGATCCAAGGAGTTTTGTTTTTTTGTGGGTTTTTTGTTTTGTTTTGTTTTTTCTTTTTTTTCCCCCCAGGCAAAGATGGCAACCACAACTGCAGTTTTGTAAAGATTGACTCTGCATTATCTATAGCCTGCATTTAATTTTACAAATGAAGACTAGCTCTGATGAGAACACATAGGGAGAGAAGATAGAACTGTTGTTTGGAGTGGCGGCTGAGTGCTTTTTAGAGTTTTAACATCTTAAAGAGACCCACGTTTTTCTTAGGATTCAGTGCTTTTGTTTCTAGAAGAATAAGCAAATCTTCCTATCTTCCCCCACCCTCTGTTTTTGGTTTGTTTTTCATTTCTAGGCGAGAACACTTTTTTCTTCTCTTTTCTGCATCTTCCTCTTTTGCGTACATACTTGCTTCACATTTACTTTTGTGCTTTTGTGTTATCACCTTTCAACCAGTTTTCCATGCGATATTCTATTTACGGTTGCTGCTGCTTCTGGACTTTCCTGAAGAATAGAAAAATGTCTAACTTTCCTACTTGAAGGGATGTCACAAAACGGTGCAGGGAAAAAACAAGAACAATTTGAGGAAACATTATACTTTACACTGGTCTCCCCAGAGACGTTAGAGAGGTTTCGTCATTTGAGGCCAAAAAAGGAACTGTGGAACACTAGTTGAACAGTAGATGGGCTATATGACTAATTTAAGATAGTTTGTATTAAGATTAAAATAATTTGTTTCAAGACTAAAAATTATGGTTAAACCCACAACACCTGTGATTATATTATTTAACAAGACAATTATAGGGATAACTAATTAGCTGGTTAGATGCAAACTTTGAGGGTCTGAAAGAACAAATTTCCGGGTTTAAGAGAAAATACAGAATTGGGTCAGTGCAGAACTTAATGTTGATAATCTTGAATTTTACATGGTGACTTGAGCAATGGAAAAAAAAATATTTGCCACTGCAATAAGTGGAATTTTCTGTGTTTTAGGTATTTTCCCATTGCTTGTTTGTATTTTCCAAATATCTGATACAGATATTTCAGATACAGGTTTTCTGACAGTACCTTGAAAAATAATTTTAATATAGATAAATCAAACTTTTTGAAATTCAGTACTGGTTTCTGTGTGGTTATTCCGTCTTTGGTGAATAAAGTTTTTCCTGACCATCTTTATAGCAAAATGTTGTGTTAAAGATTTTATTTTATTTTTTTTTTTTAAGTAATCTCTGCATCCAACTTGGGGCTCAAACTCACAACCCCAAGATCAAGACTCTGCTCTACCAACTAAGCCAGCTAGATGCCCCTTAATAGCAAAATTTAACTCTTCAAAACAACTGAATTTGTTTATTTACTCAGTTATTTTTTAAGGGCCCTACTGTGTCTGGTACTAATCAGAGTGCTAGAGATAGAGCAGTGAACAAAAGTAGACAAGGATTTCTGCTCTGGATACAATAGTCTAGTTGGGGGAGACAGATAACCAAATACTTAAGTTAATTGCATATTATATTAGAAGGTGATAATGCTATGAAGGGAAAGCATGGAAGGAGGTTAGGAAATGGATGTTTTGGGGATTTCAGTCAGAGTGCTTAGGAAAAAGTATTATACATATGCTGCTCTATGTCCTTACCTAAAAAGTTTTCAGATTTCTTTATCTTACGCCAGGTCGTCAGGATGTTATCGCGGCTGAGGAGATTACTGAAGCTGTAAGAACTATTTTAAAGACATACAAATTATAGAAATGTAATATAAGATTTGATTACTTGATAAAAACGAAATTAGTCTTGAGAATCAGTAACAAGTAAGGATAGACCTTGGTTTTTTCCTTGGAGAGGATTTTGCAGTTGAGGTTTTAACTCCTTTAACGCACTCTGTCAGTGTCTCCCAACCTTTCCTCAGATGGCGGCACGTAGAAAATAATTTTTGAATCGCACGCTGTGGTGGATGCACTAAACTGTTGGAGATGAGTACAGTTATTTTGGCACATCTGTAATGCTGGGAATACTCTGCTCAATAATATTGTTAAAGTCGTTCTTCATACAGTTCATGGTTGTGATTTTCAAACTTATTGGAGCCTTAGAGATATTCTTTCTTGGGAACGAAGTCACAAATTACTGAGATTATGGTTAGATGGTGTTTTAAGAAAGTATTCTTAGAGAATAGTGGGCTTCTGGCAATACTTAAAATTGGCAGGAGTTAGAGTAAAGAAACATCTACATTTAATTGTGATAGTTCTAGAAATGTTAAATTACTCTTGTGGATTTTCTGCACTGTTTTCCTCTTAATGGGGTCTTACACTATTAACTGTTGATTTGCCTAGATTGAAGGAGAATGATTTAGTAACGGATGGATTATGAATGTGTGCTTATTTTCAGATGACTTTGAAGTGTTATTTTGTGTTATTCACAACTCTGCTCTTTACTCAAGTGTCTGGCTGTAGTGATTGAGAGAGGTAGAATCTTACTGACATTTTTAGTAGTCACATTGCCTTGACAGGCTCCATATGACTGTTGATGATGTTGTGAAGGATTACAGCATAATCAAAAGCTAGAAAAATGACTTATCTTGGATCCTGAGGCTGAGTTCTGGGAACTTGGGGAGTATAGATGCCTAGAATTAGAGTAGTATTGGAGAAGGTTGAGTGGATACTCTGGCTAGGAACAGTGCTGTCAGGGATCTTGACTTGGGACAAGTCAAGGAAAGGGGGAACAGTATAGAATAGAATTGAGGATATTTTGTGTCAATGATAAACATACGTGGAGGACAGGCGAATAAAGGATAAAGCTAAGGTAATCTTAACTTTCAAAGTAGTCCTTGCGATACTTTTAACTGTTAATCAATTACTGCTTAATGAGATGGCTTCTGTTTTTATCCTAAGTGTTTGGGTGTTTCATTTAACTTTTCCTGTCTCTTCCACTCCCCTGGGCCATAGATCTCAGGAGAATAGGAAAATACCTTTTCTTTGTCTCTTAAATATACACTTAGTGACTATGGTGAATGCTAATCACTTGACACTTCTTATTAGCAAGTTATGCATTAGTTTAATTCCATTTTAGAGAAATCTTTTAAGCACTTTCATAACAGGTTGAGTAGAAAGGAACAATTTAAAGTGTGTGTGTATATATATATATATATATATATATATATATATATTCCCCTGAGAGTTGACTTATTTTCTTGATTTATGTGTTTGCCATAATACTAGTTTTCAAAGTATTTTTTCCTGTTCTTCCTCTCTGGATTCTTATTCCAACCTTGTAAAATGGGAAGTCAGATAATCGTATTGCATTTTAATAGAGACAGAGTAACTTTTGGTAAGTAATCACTTATTTGGAAAGCAACTTACCCAAAATTACATAGCACTGAGTGCTGAAGCTGTGATTAAAAACCAAGCTCTGAAATCTGTTGATGCTATGAGGTTGTATGTAATTAACATGTTAACAAGTTTGACATTGTAGAGAAATCATTGGGATAATTACTTTTTAGTCAAGAAGTAAATGTTTACTAGGATATTTTATAGCTTCTATAGCTGAGAGAAAAAATATAATATGGTTATGCATGCATTTTAAAAAGGCTCTTTATGCATGTACTTGTGCACTGAGTAAAATTAGGGCAAATCCTTACTGTTCAAAGATATTCTTTATTTTTAAGGAGAGTTTTAAGAGTAGAGGTGACCTGGCATCTTTCTGAAAATATAGTTCTGCATAGTGTTTATCTGAATTGAACATTTGTTACATGTTATTTCTTTATGTCACTGCTGTCTGCATTTTATCTACAATAATACTTGTTCCTGTTTATCAGGTGTTTTTAGTAATCCTTCATTTGGTAGCCTTTATTCATGAATTTAGGTTTTAGATCACCAGTAAATGGTACACACCTTTGAGTTATTTTATTCTGAGAAAAACTAATCATTCAGTAGGTCTTATTAAAATTCATTAGGAAAAAAAACCACAAAATCTGGAATCAGAAGACCTGGATTTAGGTTCTCTTTCTGTACTTAACATCTATGTTGCCTAAAAATCAATGTGTCAAGTTGGTGGTTAAGACAAAAGGAAATTAATAGATAAACATATA